AAAATTTCATGCATTTTCTCTTCATCTTAAACCTCCAACTTATGCATACACACTAACTAACCATTGTAATGATCTTTTGTTGGGGTTCCATCAAGACGAGGTTCAATAATGTCCAATTAGGTTCTTGTGTAGCCAAAAATATTGGGTTGAGTTTGCAGGGGTCTTCATCCAAAAAAACTGCGGAATTGTCCTCCAAGATCATTGATTGATTTGGGGGGTTTTTGTGCAAGACACTCAAAAGAGGATTGCGGCCAAGTGAAATCTTTTAGAGATAAAGAATACAAAGGATCCTTTGGAGATAAATAATGCAAAGGAAGTAGTGAGATAACAGAGAATCAAATTGAAGTCTTGTGTTACAATAGTTGATATTGGTGGTGCACAAAAGCTTTTGAGATAAAGTATATAAAGGAGTATCAAGATCCAGATAACCAATTGGCAGCTATTGTGTCTTGGTCTTTTTCAAGATCAAAGGAAGAGAAGGGGTCTAATCAACAATAAACATTAGGATTTGTGGAGTTTCTTTTGGAACACTTCTCCTTGTATCAAACTTTTTGCATAGTAAGAATTATCTTAATTCCATTGGAATTAGACGCAAGCATACATACACGCAAGGACGAAAGTAGGGAACTGTGAAGACAAATCCTCGTGTCTTTTTTTCGTATTGTTTTACTTGCTTTATTTTCATCAATTAATTGGTCTAATATCATTGCGTAATTGATTGACTCATAGGAATTTTCTGAACTATTTTTGGATTTGAATTAAATATTGTTATTGCTTATAACCACTTTTGATTATAAGTGATTTTGTATCAACACAACTCAAAGGAAAATTCTGAAAATTCAATTGTACACCAAGTGTTCGAAAAATTGTTTTGTTAGTTCTTTTGATAATTGCCATTGGAAATAACATTACTAGTAACTTGTTATAAACGATTGATAATGTGTTACTTGATTGAAGTTCAATTAATTCAGATTATCTTATTTATTCCATACTCAATTTATATTTGCATATCTGAGTTCCAATAACTACGGTTCGTATAGATGACACTTTCTAAAATCCTTCCGCTTGCATTATTTTCTAATCAAAATTTTTAAACCATATTTTTATCTTAAATTTTGGCTTGGGGATATATTCACCCCCCTCTAGAGAAGACGTCGTCGTCTAACAACAAATTGTTGAGTCATTAGGGTTGTGGGTGCTGCAAAGTTGTCATTCATGGTTGTTTCCAAGTTGTTATGGTTGGTGTGCTTTTGACCCAGTAATATAGCAATAGAGTAATTGTTGGCTTCCATGGCTGATTCAAAATTTTTGTGAGTTGTAATGAGATCTTCGAGACACTGATTGGTGGATTTAAGAGTATCATCAAGGTCTTTGGGGGTAGGGTTGGTGATTTTGAGAGGAATTGAAGAAAGAGATGAAAGCACCAACGATAAGAGGGTTCTACAGGTACTCCCCAAATTAGGGTTTCACCAATGAACTTGAGAGTGAATAAAAATGAAAGACAAATAAAAATATAATTCTGAATATTCATATCCATTAATATCATCCATTACATATATATATATATATATATATATATATATATATATATATATATATATATATATATATATATATATATATATATATATATATATATATATATATATATATATATATATATATATATATATATATATATATATATATATATATATATATATATATATATATATATATATATATATATATATATATCCAAATTAATGGGCCTCAAATTAACGGGCCTCGGCCTTGGAGGAATTGAAATAAACTAATGAGCCTAAAGCCATTTGGAGGAAAATAAATAAATTTTCTACAAATAAAAGATGCATAATAATTCAAGTAACAAAGTCCTCTAGACAAAATGATCTCTTCCTAAACATTATAAGTTAATCAAGACCACGAAAAAGTAATATTATTAATTCTCACAAGGTATTTTTATCTGCATTTTTAATCCATGTAGTTAATGCTATCAAATATGTCTATTATAACTTTAGTTTATAAGAATAAAAACCAATTCTCACAAAGATTATGTACCAGCAGTGGAGGAGCCAACGTCTGGCTAGGTAAGGCAGTTGTCCTTGCTTTGCTCGACCATGTTTCACCATCTCGCATTGGAGATCTGCCATGGCCATCCTCAGCCATACCATACCATAAACAAACGCACACCGCAACTCCATTCTTGCCGTTCTGGTTTCTGTTCAATCAACCACCAGTGAGCCTCACCTTCATTTATGTTTTAGTTTTTCTCTCTATGTTTTATGTGTATTTGAGTCTTACCTTCCTTTGAGCATCACTGATAAAATGCCTCGTCTAATTCTTTCTTCTTTTTGATTTTGTTTCAGTTTAATTCTTGCTACAACATTGTTGTTGTGTTGCTATTTGTTGTTATTGCATGTTGTGGTTGACGAAATGATGAATTTGTCATTTCAAGTTGTGCCCACCAAGTGTTCAGTAAAAGTTCTGAACTGAGATTCTTCTTCCTTTATCTTGTTTTTGCTTTGATGGATTTTTGATAATTGAACCTTGATTTATGTTGGCGTTTTTGGTTTTGAATTCTTAAATTTCCACACTTGTTGATCGTTGCTTTTTTTGTTGATTCTTGAAGGTTACGTGAAGATGCTTATGGAGAAAGAAGAATGATGCTTATTGGAAGATTATGGTGATTACAAAGTGTTAGATATTTGTGGCACTTGGTTTTAAGTTAAGTATGTTTGAGCATTATTTTTTCTTTTGATTGTTAGTGGTTGGTGTTATAGACTATAAAGTATATATAGACTAAGGCATTGGTTAATGAATAAATTAGTTTTTTGATAAATTACTTTTGGTTTGTTGTTTGGTGTAGGCAACATAGAGGGTAGTAGGAGCTAGGGTTAATATAACCAACTTCAAGAGAGGAAGTATCTGTTTCACTCTCAAATGGAAAATTAAGTTTTTATGATTTACATGCTTTTAATTTGCAGTTCCTTATCAAATAAAAAATCCTTATCACGGGAAAAGGTTGGTAAAGTTTCTTTATCATTTTTGACAGATTTTGGAGTATATGAATTGTAGCATGATGTTTTGATGATGTACTGGCTGTAATGGTTTTTAGGTGCAACATTAGTTCTGAAATAAGCATAAAGAGTCAACGGGTTAAGTTGCTTTATCAATTGAAGGGATGAATCTTTATGTCGATCTTTTAAATGAATCTTCTTCAAGAAAGGGTTTGTATAACACATTGGGACACCCTTTGAAGGGTTTCCTTCCTCTTCTTTTTTGCAAGAGCCTTTAACATTTTTTTGAATAGCGTTTATCTATTACGATTCATCAAAAATTATTATGTCAAATACTGTCTTGGTAGAAAATTATGAAGTCAGTGGCGGAGCCAATAAAAACTTGCCCAGGCTTCATAATTTTTTTGGCTCCGCCACTGTGTACCAAGATCTTCAATACGGACGGTGTGGCTTGGACTTCTTGTACATATATTTGGAGGTGTCGTAACCGGCAAAAAATAAGAGCCGCCACCATTAATTTTTGTCCCAAGGACGGGAAAATAACGGATAACCCTAATAATTTAAAGATTCTAAGTTCGTGAGTTGGTTATACGAAGGGAAGGTGTTAGACACCCTTCATCTCCCTTGTTCTCAAGGGGCATCCTATTTTAGATCGTAGGGTAGATCATAAATTTCTATTTAAATATTACTATTTCCATGTGTACAAGAAAATATTTAAATTTTTAATAGCGGGACTCGCCTTGGTTTTAACTGCGTGCCTACATATCTCCTTACGAAGAATCAGAGTCCAATTTCGTAGTTCATAGTGTTTCGTTAGTGTTTTTTATAGGATTGCCTTTGGTTACTTTTGAATGGGTTTTAAACTTTCCCGAGTTTGAAAATTGAGTGATGGTAGACGAAGTTTTGTATTCGATTTGAAAGTAACTTGACAATCCTTTATTGAAAATAGTCTTTAGTTTTGTTATGTTAGTATAAAAGATTTGTAATCGGTTAGCTGTTTTAAATTAAGTTAGAATTTTGTTGATTGATAAAGAGTTAATCTTTATAAAAAAATTAAATCACACTAGGCGAAGAAATTGATTCGATTGATAAGGAGTTGATCCTTATTAGAATTCGATCGTGCTAGACAAATGAATTTATTTGTTTTGTTTTATCGTGTTTGAGTGAATTAATATGGATTATTACGTTAAGCAAAACCAAGGTTCAAGTGAATTTTATTGTTTCAATAATTAATTAGTAGACGTTAAGCCAACCAATCGATTATTCGAGAATATGTGGATGTAAAATCCACCTATCCTATTATTTATAAAAAATATTAAACTAATTTGATTTAATTTTTTTTTTAAATGTGTACAAAGTTAATTGTGAATTATGTATAGGTAATGAGTATTTGAATTTAATCGAAAAGCACAAGTTATGTTCGAGCATTATTATTCTAATTGAAACTAATTTAACTAACATCTCCCTAGAAAATGAAAATTAATCTAACCCTAATAATTAATTTATTAACTAAAAAATGCTAATAAAAAATAGTAATTAAATAATTGAAGGAGTTAAGTTTGAATGAAAGATGTAGAAAGAAAGTCAAAATTTGAATTAGGGACCAATCCAATGAAAACCAAATTCTAAAACATAATTAAAACAAAAATAAAAAAAGAAAATGAATCAGGATTGGGGTAGTGGTGCGCCACCCCTTTGTAACTATCAGCATTATACATTCTTCCTTTATAATATATCATGACATTTTCAAATATATGTGCACAGTAGGGCAAGAAAATTAATTTAATAAAAAAAAAAAGAAAACACAAACCAAATATACTATTTATTACAAAAGCAGAAAGAAAATGGCAAATTATTACATTAATCAACATAAACTAATTACAAGCAAAGTTGTAATTCACAAAGAATGAACAAGAGTTTCATCGATTAAACACACAATAACATTGTTATTGATTCCAATGACATTAACTATTATACCGAGACTTAACTTGAGGGATGATAAGTAGTGGGAACCAACCACAAATCATGCTTTCTTCTAACATTCAATCCAAAAGATTCATTCATGTCAAGTTCATCAGCATTATCCCCATTAGGAATGTTCCAATCAAAATGGTAAAGCAAATTCGCAAGAGAAATTTCCAAGTTAGCAATACCAAATGTTATACCAGGACACATCCTTCTTCCAGCACCAAATGGTATAAATTGAAAATCCACACCTTTGCAATCAACTTCACTATCAATAAACCTTTCTGGAATAAACTTCATAGGTTCATTCCAGTATTTTGAATCTCTGCTTATTGACCAAGCATTAACAATTACCTTGCTTTTTGCAGGTATTTCGTATCCATTTATTTCACATTTTTCACTACACTCTCTTGGAAGTAATAATGAAACTGGTGCATGTAGACGCAATGTTTCTTTGATAATTGATTTCAAGTATTCAAGCTTATCAAGACTTACTTCATCTACACATCCTTTTTTATTGTACACTTTTCTTATTTCAGTCTGGGCTTTCTTCATTACATTTGGATTTTTAACTAGTTCTGACATTGCCCATTCTAGAGTTGTAAATGTGGTGTCACTTCCAGCACTGAAGATATCCTGAAAAATATCACATAACCAAAATATGGATTTTTTAAAAATAAAAATCTAAGTAAATTTACATATTACATATTATAATTATTAAAATGCTCTTCAATTCATAAATACAATTAATTCTTTGACAACATTAAAAACAATTAAATAATCTTTAACTATAATTTTTTAGTACAAATATTAACCACATACTATTAACGAGGCATGACTATATCTCAATTTATGTCTTTTTTTGGTCATCAGTTGTTTTATGTTTTACTTGTGAGTACCTTATTATTTATTTCAACACTTTTTTTTAAACATTAATGGTAATACCAAACTGATTTTCAAGAAAATCAATTCTTAAATCCAAATTTAAAAAAACTTTTCCTAAAACTAGGTTAGTACAAAGAACTAAATTGTTAAACAAGTTTTATGATAACCGTTTCTTATATGAAGTGAAACTAACATGAGTGACTATGAAGATAATAGACATGAAATTAAAACTTGTATTTGTGGATTCTTATAAGAACCTGTTTCGAGTTTGATTGAGTTTGAGTTTTCTTTAATTACAAAATATAAAGATGAATCGGTGATTTGTGATTAAAGAGTTCAAAGTGAGTCACTGTACGTGATCCAAAATATTACGATGATTAAATTGTGACTAAATGGGATCTCTCTATACATTTTCTACGTATCTAAATAAGATCCTAACATGTTTTTCTATGGTTAAAAATGTGATTAAATTGAAATTGTTACATATGGCCCCAAAAGTTTTAAGATGACTATGTTTCTAGGAGACTAGAGTAATGCCTAGTATCATAGTCGTTGATCATTTTTGCAATCACTTCAGTGTTGGGCTATTTTTCAACTTATTCTAACCATTTGGGGGTGAGAACGAAGGGTGTTACTTAGGTTATATGTTACCAGCTTAGTTTTCAACTAAGTCTTGATTGTTGAGGACATTCCTTACTTTTCATTATTTGGTTTGAAAGACCATTTTGTAAAGAAAATTAGGGATTTAATACTCACTCTAAAAAGACTATCAACTTATAAGAGGCAATGTTCTACCATGTTAAGGTCATTTATTGAAAATTTCATCCCATACATGTGTATAGATAAGTTAGGAAAAATCTTCGTGAAGTCGGAGGGTCGAACTATGATTGAACCATGATTTATCGACATCAATACATTGGTTAGATGTCATACAAATGTAGAGGTTAAAGAGATTCTCAACAAGTTTGCTTGCAATAAATTGGTTTGTGTTATCACATTTTTTATTTACATGACCTTGAATTGTTGTTTTTGTAGGAGAAATGTCAAACTTGTAGTATCAATTAATCAAGTTGTAGAAGCATAATTAGCATATGGGTAATTCTTCTAAGGCTTCATCTTTTTCCACCCCTAAAGTAAAAACTCTAGAAATTATGAAGATAGCTTAGGTTTCTCTCGTAAAAATGGTTGTGGCCCTAGAAAAAAGACTTACATATTGCGATGTCAATAATGACAATGTGAAAAGAAGAAGGGTGCTACAAAAAGACTGATCTTGACACTTCTTAACTTGTCTTGACTTTGGGATTCGAATAGGATTCTAAGGTAGCAATAATTGATGAAGACATAATACACCTAGAAAACAAGACACCTTTTCAACTAGTCTAACAGAGGCCTTATCTCTACTGAGATAAGGATAAAAGATCATGCGGCCAACATGATCTATATCCATGATGTTGGTCCCACATGAAGGAGGACGACGCTCTTAAATGACATACCCAATGTGTTTCAACTTCTCTTATGGTAGGGTGTTGAATGCCACTAAATGCAAATATATCATTAAGGTTGAGGAGATTCGAGCATATAAGGAGAAGTGGAAGACGATGGTACTCAAGTTCTAGAAGACCATTGATGTCATAAGGGAGAAGGTGGGGGTTTTAATGGGTCTAACCAATGAGAAATCCATGAAGATCAAGGAGGTAGGGGAATCTAACAAATGAGAAGGACTCCCAACTAGAGAACGTAAGAGGCCTCGGAGATATGAAGAAGACCAAGGATGCTCTCCAAGTAGCCGAAGAGAAATCTTTTTAGGTAGATGAGTTAGAAAATATATGGTGGATCTTAAAGACAAAATCTATAGGCTTTAAGATGGTCATTATTAGTCAAAGGTGTACTTATGGATAATAGGCTAAAGTTGATTGTGAAGATTGACCAACTTGAGGATGACATTGATGAGTTTGATTTGTATTCCTTATAATTTTTTTACTTGGGTCAAAATGTTGAACCCTAAGTTTCATTTGAGCATGGAGATGATGAATTGAATGAGGTCATTTGTTAATGAGAAATGTGTTATTTAGGAGAGTTTCTAGATAGAAGAAGAGGAGGAGTAGGCAGACGTTTATATCTTTTTTTTATGTATTTACTTTAAATGTCTGAATGTTTAAGGTTGACCTCTGACATACTTTTGTAATGAACATGCATTTATTTTAAGTTTTTATCTTCATAAATAATATGAGGGACGTTTAGTGGGGTTGAAATCTATTAGGCTGATCACTAAGTCGTGGGTGATGTTCAGATACTTATTGAATTTTCTCTTCACTGAGTTGATACTAGTGAGAGACCATTCTAACACCAGCAGAAAGAAAGTGAAGGGAGGGATCACCAATTTTTCACTGCTATGAGTCTGAGTGTACCTTTTGAATTTTGTCTTTTTCTTGACGACTTTTGCCATGTCGTTTTCCCTGTTTGGTCGAGGAGGACTAGAACACTAATTTAGATCTCTCAAAGAGCCTTTCTCTCCACCCCTAAACATTTTTATTTTCTATTCTGTATTAATATTTTGATGACATCATTTAGATGAACATAATCGTTAGTGTTATGGTCATTGCATTTATGTAACTTTTAGTACTTAGTCTTCTCAATCCTATGACACGACATATCTGATTTGAAAAATTAGATGTCTCCAATAAATTAATATTACATAAAAAAACGATTGAGGAGAGTATACCCATGAAAATGAAAACACTTAACATTAAATAAATAAAAATTGATATTTATCTACATGTAAGTGAAAATTTTCATAAACTTAATACCCTAAAACTTTAAATTGACGGTGTTCAATTATACCCGCATATATTAAGTTTAGTCCAACATAATGATGTCATGTCGTGATGACCCAAACCAAATACCACTGAAATAATTGAGTCTTGTACAGGTCTAATGTATGACTCAATCTAAAACTTTCTACAAGTAGCATGCTAACCAAAACATACACTTTGACACAGGTTATGGCTATTACCCAAAAATGTCTATCCAAAACATTTTTTTCTTAAAAAATGCAATATGTTACTAACAATTCCAATTATTTATAGACTTTAAATTGAAACATAGTACAGTACTAACCAAAATTGTTGCTTTGATAACAGTGTCTGTCAAGGGATGTTCCAGGTGACTATGCTTTTGCAGCTTCAAAAGAACATCAACAAGATCCTCCCCAGTTTCTTCCTCATCCCTTGTTTCCAAATTCTTTTCTCTATGACTTCTTACAACATTCTCTAGTATCACATCCATTTCACTATGAAGCTTGTCAATTTTTTTCCTTAATCCTGTAAGAACTTGAAGGATTCCAATTGAAGGAAACAAATCAGCAACAGAAAACCCTCCAGCCATCTTTGACACATCCTTCATAAGTTTCCTATACTTTTCTTTACCTTCAATTTCTGCACCAAAAGCTGTTCTTGAAGTTAATCCATAAGCTAATGAATCTATCTTCTCACTAAGGTTTATAGATGACCCTTCACTCAAAATTATATCTTTAACAAAGCTTGCTAATTCCTCTTCCCTTTCCAATCTAAAAGATTCGACTCGTTTTGGTGATAGTAGTTCCATGGTGCAAATCTTCCTCATCTGTCTCCAATAGGATCCATGTGGAGAAAAAGTCATTCCTTTATATCCATAAGTTATTATTTCTGCTGCAAGAAGTGGAGGCCTATTTGCAAAGTTGAGATCATGTTTTTTCATTACCTCTTTAGCCATTTCTTGAGATGAAATCACTATGCAAGAAAGTTCACCAAGTTGCATATGCATGAGTGGTCCATATTGGTGCGCTAGTTTTGCTAGGGATTGATGAGGTAAGGCTCCAAGCTGGTGAGTGTTCCCTATGAGTGGAAGTTTTCTTGGTCCTGGTGGTAATTTGTAGTTTGTTTTCTTAGCTTTTGATCTCAAAATAATTTTGATTAACATGAACAAAAGGAAACCAAGGATAGTTGATATGAGCACATGAAGGTTAAATCCCATGATTGCTTTGGAAATGAACTCAACTCAAGTTTGTTTAAGGCTTTTGTGACTATATATAGAGAAGATTTTGTTGTATGAATATATTAGAATTATAAAAATATATTTAAATTTGTTTTTAATTAATTAGTTTAGTCATTAAGTATATATTTTTAATTTAATCAATAAAACTAAAAAGTAGTGACAACGTCTCACTCATTCAAGGGATACAAATAGTTTTTTATAATTTTTATGCGCACATTGCATATTTTTGAATAAGATCATCTTACTAGTCACTCGAGGGATAAAGATCTATTTGCGAGGTCGAGCACTATTAATAGGTAATTTTTCATATACACTAGCGTGTAGTCGAACCTTTAATTAGATGTTTAAAAGATCTCGAGGTACAAATATTCAATTACAAGATTGATCACTCTTATTTAAGTTTTGATGCAATTTGTGGGAAAAATTTGTTAGTGCCAAGAAAATTTCGGGTCAAATTATTTACGAGCCATCAAGAATAATAATTTGGATTCTCCATTTTCTCTTTTATTTGTTGAGAGTATAATTCAAATTAAGTAAATCCAAGCGTCCGACTTAATTAGAGTTTGTTATGTTAGTTATTTAGTATACAAGTCACATATTTATATATATATATATATATATATATATATATATATATATATATATATATATATATATATATATATATATATATATTTGTAATTAAGTTTTTACAGCTTTCAGTAATAACAATTCTTAATTACTTTTTATTCTCTCTGTCATTCCTTCTCTCATTAAAAGTGTATCAAACACTAACAATATAGTATCTACAGCTCCAATTAAGTTTTTGATTGTGTTTTCAAGAATCACACGTATTGATCGTGTTTTCGAGATTGTAGGTTGTTAATCAACTGTTGCAAAGATGAACAGTAACAATGACAATATTCCAAATTCTCTTCTAATTCTTGACGGCAAAAATTTGATCTGATGAAGTAAACAAATTCAATCGTTGTTTGGATTTCATGAAACACTAGAAGTGATTACTAATGACGTTCATGTGCTTGCTCATAATGCAACCACATCTCAGAGAACCGTCCAAAGGATGCCAAGAAGAAGGATTGTAAGGCGGCATTTTGTATTCAATCGACAGTAGATGCGGTGAACTTTGATCAGATTTTTCATGCTGAGTCGGCGAAGGAGGCATGAGATATTTTTGTCAAGTATTACGAAGGAGATGAGAATGTGAAAATTGTCAAATTACAGGTGCTACGAAGGCAATATGAATTACAGTAGATGGGAGAAGATGAAAAAATCGAAGTATATGTTGCGAAGGGGCATAATCTTTTCATCTCATGAAAACTTGTGGTGAAACGCTTACTGACAAAATGATAATTTAGAAGGTAATATGTACGTTGACCTTTCACTTTGATCATGTTATGGTAGCTATTCAAGAATCCAACAATCTTGAAACCCTAAAACTGGAATATTTGGTCAGTTCGTTGGAGGCACATGAGCTACAGATTATCGAGAGGAAAGGGGTTCAAGATTCGATACATGCACTGCAAGCTCAGGCATGAAAGAAGTATGTTGGTTCCAATAAGTTCAAAGGAAAAGGAGACAAGACTCAAAGAAAGAAGTCTTGGGCGAATCGTCAAAAGCACAAGGCGGTTGATATGGCCTCAGAATCCTCAAAAAGAGGATAATAAACCTTCTATCAGAAATACAATGAAGAGAAAAAAAGTTTGCAGTGCTATAATTGTGAAAGTTGAAGTCACTTGACCATGAATTATTGGCACGGGAAAGACAAGGGAGCGCCAAAAGTAAAGGATGGAGGAGAAAACCTTGCACATCAAGATTCTAAGATTCTGATGATTATGAATATTTGGTGCTCATGGCTACAATTATAGATGTGCATGTCGACTCCAAGATCTGATTCCTCGACACAAGCTGCTCGAATTACATGACTAGTAGAAAAGTGTGCCTAACATATTTCGATGAGTCAAAGAAGAGGAAGGTCAAACTTGTAGATAATAGCTCGTTGAAAGAAGAAGATACCAACAACATAGTTATTCAAATGAGCAACAAAGTAAAATCTATAGTAAAAATGTACTTTATGTACCTAGAATGAAGTGCAATCTACTAAGTGGTTATGAAAGATAGAGCTTTAAAAATTGTTCGACACTCAAAATAATTTGGTCTTGAAATCTCCTCTTTCGAAGAATAAGATATTTAAGACCATGATCAGTTTGATTGAGGTACAATGCTTGAAAACAGTTGTCAACCACAAGTGTAACACTCTTCTAAACCCCAAGAAATAACACCATATAAATCAGAGTAAAATTAATCATGCTTCTCAAAACAAGAGTGTCACACATGCTTCAAAACAAACAAACACCTGTCATGCTCAATAACACTAAATTAAATTCATGCTTTTCATATCACGTTCATATAGCATGTAGCAGAGAAATAATTATCATTCAACAAATAGTATTAAAGTCTCATAATCAATCTCTTTATTGAAATAGTTTAGGCAAAAAAGCCAATTCACCACATACTCAAAATATCAAAACGAATAAAATAAAGTACATATAGTATCTCTCCAAAAACATGAATCCAAAATGTTCCTCAATGTTACATGACAAGAGCATGACTTAACCCAAAAATAAATATGAAAATAAAATAAGCTACTTCATCAGCTACTCTCTTGATATAAGCAACTCTACTCTTTGACACCTGAGCAGTGTCGTATAAAACATCATTCCAACAGAAGGGTGAGAGTTCATATAATTATCGAAATTGCATAATAATACATAATGTATAATAGACACATGCATACAAATAAATATTCTCACACTTCAAATGATTTATAAACATAACATCGCTCAATTCTTATACTATTCATAATTATATACAATCATAACCCATAATTTTGCAAATACATCAACTTCGCAAACACATCAACTTCGTACAATACACACAACTCTATATTACAAACATAGACACAATATGACTCAATGAAACTCAAATGTAATACTCATGCATGTGGTACCAATCTCTGTTATTTTTATTTGGTTTTTACTTTAAACCGGGTCCGTCCTCTAGCCCAATAATACACTAGAAGCCCATCCTCTAACCTTTCAAACCCCCCTCTAGGTTTCGGACAAGTCACTAGCTTCCTCAAAAATAACAAGCATGCCTCTTGACAACAAATGATGCATGTGAAATTACAACAACCATGTGCAAACAAATTAAAACCATTCTCTAATCTTAACATCATGCATTTATTCAATAATTCATTACACTTGGATTACCACACATTTGCACATACAACACATGCTCATGAATTATTCAGATATAATTCATATTCATAGCATCACTACTCCCAAACATCATAACAACATATCGCAACAATGCACAACCATGTCATTACGATTCAACACCCAATCACAAACATACATACATCACATAAACAAACTTTCATGTCATTAACAAATAAGCTCCAAAACACATCCAAACATGTCATTTAAATTCCATAAAATTAAGTATAAATTAGCATAAAATATAAACATACATAATTCCAAGACAATTCAACAAAATAATTATTTTTCAACACCCAATGGACCGCTCTAAGCGAGCTTCTAGGCGTTAAGTGCTAAACTCACTGTCTCGGCCCGCGCTAAGCGAGCAACCTCGCGCTAAGTGTGCTCTGTGATTTCTCTAAAAAAACATGCGATGACAACACAGTCCCAATACAGTTTTCTTCACCCAAAAAATGTTTTCACATCCAATTTGTCACGATTTAAGTTACTAAAACATACATACAACATATAGTTTTAAACCAAAATATCACAACATAATCACATACCAATTTCATGGATTCTCAATCAAAACCTAAGTAATTCAAAGCATGGAAAACTAAGAAATTGGTCCTAATACATGCTACTACCCATCATGCATTATCAACAATTCCAATAACCAAATGAAAATCCACCCTTATCTTATTCTAGGTAGATTCTCTTAACTTTTAGGTTCTTGCCCTTTTCCTCTTTCTTGCTCTTCTCTTCTTTTCTCGTGAAAACTTTTTCTCTTCTCTTTTGTTAATCCACTTACTAACTCTATTTCTTTTCTTTTTATTAAACCCTTACAAAAATAATTGTAGTAATCATTATTGGGATTACTAACACACAATCCCACATTTACTCTTCACATTATCACCAAATAGGCCCAAACACCAATATTCTATTATTCCCTTATAATTATCACTAGTAAAATAATTATTTACTAACTGACACCAACACTGACTATAACTTTATGGTTCTCCACATTTATCCGACTAACTCATCACATAGAACATATTTCAATATATATATATATATATAAATAATTACTAAAATTAGGGTGTTACAACTCTACTTCACTTGAAAGATTTTTGCCCTTGAAAATTACCTCAAACGAACAGATCAGGATAAGACTCCTTCATTTGACTCTCGAGCTCCTAAGTCACGTTTCCACCTGCTGGTCCTCCCCAAGCTACTTTCACTAAAGCAATCTCTTTACCTCGAAGTTGCTTCAACTCCCGATCCTCTATCCGCATAGGTAATATCTCCACATGCATGTTATCTCTCGCATACACATGATCTAATTGGACCACATGAGACGGATTCGCAATGTATTTCCTCAATTGAGATACATGAAACACATCATGGATATTAGCAAGCGACATCGGCAAGGTAATCTGATAGGTCACCTCACCTATCTTCTCTGAAATCTGGTATGGACTAATAAAATGCGGTGTCAACTTACGTGACTTCAATGCTCGACCAACACCGGTTATCAGAGTTGAAATTCTTGTATGACAGAACTTAGGTGTCCTATGACATGTCGAGAAATCTGATATGACTTAAACATTACGGTAAGGTATATACAATTATAACCAATACTGAAAAGCATAAATAACAATACACGAAATTGTTAATCCAGTTCGGTGCAAACCAACACCTAATCTGGGGGCTATAAATCCA